CAACTACTGACAAACGAACACAGACAACCGATCTCCCCTCCATAGCCTGTCCAGGAACAGCCACATCATGAACGCACTCCGTTTTAGAAACGGCTACATCAACACCAACCGATTGCGTAAGGCATCCCAGAGGAGGTTCCTGTCCACATTCGTGTATCGTTGACGCTCGTGTATTGCGTGCTGCACAATACCCAAGTCCACCCTCCGCCGTACGCTATCGCTGTCGACTTCCCAAAGGAGGTTCTCGTCAAACTCAATCCCCGCATCAAGGAGGATGTTATGAAGCGTGCAAACAGCAACGAATTGTTGTGGTGGGGTGCTCAGGTTTGTCTTATGAGTGCGCAGTAACAAACGCCACATGCACTTCAACCGACCGAACGCCCTCTCCACACATCCATGCGCCCCCTTCTGCTTTGTGTCGAAGCGTTCGTTGTCTCGATGTTGGTCGATTCCTCTGTGCAGCTAGACGATCCACAGACACACGTTGAGGTACCCGTTGTCGCCCATAAGGTAACCTGTAGATACAACATAATATGGCAGATCCTCCAGTGGTGCAGTGAACAACTCGCCGCTCTCTGCGAGCCTCCACAAATGCATGTTATGCAGGGCACGAATGTCGTGCACACTGCACACTACAAGGATATCCAATGTGGACGTCAGAGACGCACAAGTCCAAATCCACCACCACCTGCGCTTGGACTGAGAACTTCTACTTGTGGTCGTAGTAGTTTTTCGATGGCGTACCAACAGGCTTGTTGATGTAGATATGTGTGCAATCGTTTGCACCGTAGTAGTTAGGGAAACCCTTCTCCCGAAAAACACGCAAAACCTGCAAACGCCTCCTCCCAGTCGGCCATGCGATCGTGTCAGGGTACGCATTCAGCAACGTGGAGAGTGACGTCATGGACGAACACCAATCCAGAAGCTCTGCCAATGCCAAAAGATGACATGCCACTGTCATATGTTTCCCCGGTTGCCCACCTGTACAAGGTGAAAGCCACCACCTGCTCCAAGACCAACAAAAGCTTGTAATGTGTGACCTTTCTCTAAGAATACGGGCGCATGCAGCGAAGATCTACATGAAGACTGCCTTCGACATGCACAACTTCTCGAGGAAGTACCCATCCATTGCATCGTCGCACACTAGAATATCCGCCCGCGTCCCTCCGTCCTCCCCTTGATCCACCACCGTGGCATCTGATGGGGGATGACGGATCATGACGCCGGTGGACAGTGCTGCACACAACTGCGGCACGACTTCAGACGTCGCCACACAATCCGGCGCCTCCACCGCACGCTGCAAAAGCGCTCTATGCTTTCGTAACTGTAGATGCATTCCTCGGTTTCTGGACGCCATACCCCTCTCCGATTCTAGAACGACTACCGTCACCGCTAATGCCACTGCCTCCCGCTCTTCAGGGGACAGAATCCGCCTGCCACCACCACCGTCCAGCTCCATTCCCGACATGTCACGAACGTTGAGGTTAGTCACCCTCCTACGTTCGCCACCCACGAAGACGTGACGCGCCAGTACCTGAAGGATGATTTGCAAAGCGGAAGATGATGAACGCACCCAGTGGGTCTGTGGCGCCCTATATTTGACGTCGTCCATGGCGGCCTTTCGTCGTGCAGTCGCTGCGTGCCCCTATTCGGAAATTCGAATTCAAATTTTCGAAACGTTGCCTCCGCGCTTTTTTTTGCCTCCAACATTTTTCGCGCTGGGGTCCTCCTCCCGTCTGGACCACGAACACTCGATGGCGAGGGGCGGACAACGACGGCGCGGTTCCGCATATATACATAAATCTAGCCGCGGGGAACCCTTAGGACC